TAACTCAAAGGAAATAGCTTAGGAGAAACCCTAGACCCAAGAAATAGAAGACCAGCTTCCAAGCAATTGAAGCTTGGAAGTGGGAGTATTTGACCCACCTGCTGTGAGGCTGCTGCTGCGCCAGCCTGAAGACCTTTCACCGTCTTCTCAAGTTCAGCCATCATCACACAAAAGAAAATGACAAAGGTGTGCCTAGAAGAGGGGAACAGCATGCATGCCCACACAATGACGCACTGGTTAGAAAGAACTTCCTGGGAAGAAGCCAAGGAACCAAAAGTCATTTCCTTCCCCACCTCTCTAAATGTCCTCTCACTAGGGTCCACTGTAAGACAATGGAGGAGTGGAAAGAATTCAGAAAGGAGACCAAGATGGCCTGTGAAACAATGGAATTGACTTTATGAAGGGAGATGGTGTGGTATGGAAAGAGCAGTGAAGTCACGTTGAGAAGAGGCAAGTTTAAGTTCCTGGTTCCATATTTGCTTTATTGCCTGTGTAAGCCTGAGAAAGTTCCCTCTCTAACGCTCATTTTCCTCATCAGTAAAGTAGGGGTAATGATACCTACCTCATAGAACCATCGAAAGGATCAAATGAGATAAAGAATGTGAAAGTGCTTTATAAACTGTGAAGACTATACAAGTGTAATATAGCCATTGATATTATGAGACACAAAACCCACTAAGTGAGACATACACGATTAGACAGAACAATCACTTTATCCGGTAAAGGTGGTTAAAATATTGGAAAAATAATCTCATGTTTAAAGGATGAAATTACTGATAGAAGTTTGGTGACTAAATATTCATTGCCTTTGAAGACTGTAACTACTGAAAATTCATTCCTCAGTAAGGTCCTTTCACATGGGTTGGCTGAGAGCTGCTACTAAGAATGCATAGTACACATTCTATGTGTTGAATGAATGATTGTACCTACCATCTATATCAGAATTAGATGAAGAGTAAGGCAGTTATTTGGAAACTACGGACATTGCACAGTGTGATTCTAACTTAGGGGAAGAACTGGAGGAGGGAACTCCCTTACCTGGTCAGTGTAGGGAATGTGGAAGAAGATGCATCTTTAGGACAGTTGATCAGTCCTGGGACACCAACGCCAGCAATCTCCTCCATGGCCTTCAGAACACTGTCTGTGTGCTCCAGGTAGATGCTACATTGAGAGCCATAGGAGTATGAACACATACTACAGAATTCCTAAATCAAGATTTCTCTCTTGAGATATTATCAGGTATTAAGCTTTAAAACAACTACGAGCATTTATTTTTAATAAAATAAAGATTCCAGATACTCGTCAGGAAGTAAAGGAAATGATGTCTCAATTGGAAATACAGTGTCTTGAGTATAGTAGGCAATAAATAAATAAATACCTGATCCATTGGTTAACAAGGCGGGATACAACCACAGACTCCTCCACTTCCTCTATGATTTGATTTAACACTAATGGACTAGCCGACAGTATAAAACAGAACTAGCGGATCTTACCAGCCACATATTCCAAATTATGTTAACTTCTAACCTACTTCATTACTTCCAAGTTCCCCCTAACGAAGGTAATTTAATTTCTCAATCTTTGACCAGCTGAGGGATCCCAAAGTGGCAAAATGAAAGGAAACAGCATCTCACCTGAGCAAAATATGAAGCAGGTCATTAGGGATGCTGCTCTTCTCTTTCTCTCCATGTGGCCACACCCGACAGAGAAATTGTCTAGCCAGGGAAGCTGTTGGAGAAACAAATGGACCTCACCTGTGTTTTTCAGGCTTTTGGGGATGACTGCTGATCAAAAGGAGTATTCTTTTATATCTACAATGAAGTTCCTGATCTAACAGACAATTTGAAAAGAGCTGTCATGTGTTCCTGCTCCACTGGCCCTTCTACCAGAAATAAACCCACTTGTCTAAGACCCAGAGCATCCTTACCCTCTCACCTCATCCTGACACACACAAACATGAGCTACAGAGACGCACACAGAGAAAAGGAATGCTGCTGGGCAGTGGGAAAGCCAATCTTGTTCCTCCTGGGCACGCCAATAAGCAGTGGCCATCTCACACATTCAGACCAAACCCTCTCCTTTTAATCAACAGGGAATAATAAAAGCTTGTTTTGCGTTTTCTTCTTGCTTTCTGTTTGTGCTGCCAGTTAGGACATATAACAAAGTGAGTTGTATTCCAAGAGCTATGGCAAAAGATAGTTAAAGAAAAAGATCAGGGATAGGGCCAAGCCTTTCTTTGCACTGATTTCACCTCATGGTTTATATCTCTTTTCGTCAAGTCAAATGTCTCAGATAATTTAGAGAAAAAAAAAAAAAGAAGGACATAAATAAACAGAATCCAAACAAAAAATTATCTAGCCAACTGAACTAACCAAATTGAGACTAAGCAATATCAGCATGGATCAGTCATAGCTCTTCTGGGAAAATGTCCTTTTTGGTATAGCAAGAGGGCACATCCACAGTTATGGAGGGATTTACGTGTAATATATACAAGATTCTAGGAAGCCCCAAGTTTACAAGCTTGAGTTATTAATCCTATTCATGAAGAAAAAAAGAGAGGATCTGGGCTCATCACCAATTTTTCCTTTGTTCTGAGTAGGAGCTGTAGATTTCTCCAAAAGGACCATCAAAAGTTTGACGAGATAAAGAGCACACTGGAAAGTGGGAATGCTGTGATGGAAATTCTGCAAGTAATGGAAGCTCTGGCTGCAAGGAGACAGGAAAAAAAAGGCATCACAAGTATTACAGATATGTCTAAATCCCTGAATTGTCCAAGTCCACTCAAGTGTTTGGTGGTCTAAACAGAATTCTCCTCATTTTCAGGTGCTTTTTTTTTTTGTACCTTTTTTTGTTTTTTTGTGAGGAAGACCAGCCCTGAGCTAACATCTGATGCCAATCCTCCTCTTTTTGCTGAGGAAGATTGGCCGTGGACTAATATTTGTGCCCATCTTCCTCTGCTTTATATGGGATGCCACCACAGCATGGCTTGATAAGCGGTGTGTGGGTGCATGCCTGGGATCCAAACCTGCGAACCCTGGGCCGCCACAGCAGAGCGTGTGCACTTAACTGCTGCACCACTGGGCGGTCCCTCAGGTGCTTTAATAGCAACCCTCTTTCAACACCTTGATAGAGAACTCTAACTTTGTATGGAGAAAGCCAGGGCAGAACAGAGCCCAGTAGATGGAATGCTGGCCTTGAAGGGGTCATGTACGTCAAGATACCCAAGGACTAGTCTAGGCCATGCTTATATGTGCAACCCTGGATAAATTATTTGCTCTTTAAGGCCTTAGGCAACACACTGAGAATGTTTAAATTCTGGGTTCACAGGGACAAAGTGAAAGCAAATTATAAGGCAGAGAAAGCAAAGCTTTTAATAAAGGTACCACATATGGTCTGCTTTCAATGCACACTGAAGTAATGGGAGATGGGGAGTCACAATTTCATCCAAAATCATAGTTGAAATAAAACTAAAGTCAACTCCTGATTGATTGGTGAGAAGAAGGACAAATTTAAAAGTACTGTATTTGGAATGAAATAAGTTCCTGCCATACAGGCAGGAATGACAAGCATTGATTGTGGACCCAGTGATAGCCTAGGCTCTCAGGGCAGATGAGAGGAAGACCAAGTTACTCTGGTTGAAGCTGGGGTAGGAGGCTGGGAGCCATGCCCCTTAGATCTCCTTCTCATCCACCTCCTCCGCTGCCTAGCCCTCAGCCTAGGCTCCTCTTTTTCCAAGAGTGGGAGAAGGAGACAGGCAACCAGTGATAATTAGTTGCTACCTAATTACCTAACCCTACTGGGAGATAGAGTAGGTCCCTGGATAATCAAGAGCTGACTACAGATGGTCAGTGCTTTCATCATAATTACTTGAAAAGGCAAGCTTTATAGGATGAAGGATCCATGAAGATTGAGTATGATTTGTTCAATAGTTTCTAATGCTTCAGGATTTATCTGAATACTTAGATGAGAAAGCTCATATAACTGAGGAAAAGCAGCTGATAATACCAATTTCCCTCACAACTACTGAGAGACACCCAAGTTTTGCCAAGTAATCTTGCCAATCTCGTTCCTGGGAGTTTCTTCTGGACACTCTGGAACATGTAGTCTGACCCACCTGAGCAGTTCCTCCAAGGGCTGGTCAGGCTCTTTCTGCTTCAGTTGGCTAGTAAGGACCTCGAGGGCTGAACACAGTAAATTATAATTTTCAGGTTGAAAAAATCCACTCCTAAGGGAAAATCAAGGTAAGATGGTTTAGCTTAGTTTCAGGAAGAGTGCTTGGACAGCATCTGAGGATCCTGGCTTCCAGTCTGTACCATCAACGTAAGTCAACAGAAAGAAGAAGAAGTAGAATACCGAAAGTACGCAAGTGCCAAATTCAGCCACAGCTCTGAGTGTCAGACTAGAAGCTGAAGTGCACCTGAAATAGTCTTTCCTTAAGGACCTAACAGTCCTCCTAGGTTTATTTTCAAGGGAAAAAAGCACTCCTTCATTCCCTATATTTTAGAGATAAGTCTCAGTCTTCTCCAAAAAAACAAGAATAATTTTGTCAATTTGCTAAATCAATATGTAACCCATGGTAGGCGCTCAATAAAGAGTTTATTCCTTCTTCTATATTAATAAGTCTTTTCAATTCTATCTTCAGATTATCTTTTCTACTACTGTCCCTTCCTTTCCAAGCCTGGGCCGTCACACTAGGCCAGGTCCTTATCATCATCCCATGCATAGATCCTCGCAACACCTTTTGACTGGTCTTTTTGCATCCCTTTCCAATCTGTCCTGCACACTGCTGCCAAAAGGATTTTCTTAAAACATCGCTTTCATCATACCATGGCTGTGATCACAAAACTCCAAAATTGCTTCCCTGGAGAACATTCACATTCTTCTGCCTGACCTTGGAGGCCTAGCACTGTCTGACCCCTAGATCTTGTACTCCTCTGGAAACATTTCCACATCACCAGCGGTAGTCCTTCTTCCTTTCAACAAATGTATTCTGAGGGTCTATTTTTTTTTTAGATAGCTTTATTGTGGTATAATTGACATACAATAAACTGCATGTATTTAAGTTGTTGAATTTGATCAGTTGACTACATAAACTCATGAAACTATCACCACAATGAAAATAATGAACATATTCAGTACCCTCAAAGTTTCCTTGTATTCCTTTGTAATCTTTCCCTCCCTCCATTCTCCCACCCAATGCTAGGCAACCACTGATCTGTTTTCTGTCACCATAAGATTATATGCTTTTTCTAGTATTTCATATAAATGGAATCAAACACTACATACTCTTATGGTCTTACTTTTAATTCAGTATAATTCTTTTTTCATCCATGTTGCTGCATGTAGTATTCTACCATATGGATATACCACCATTTGTTTATCCATTCACTGGCTGATGGACACTTGAGTTGTTTCCAGTCTGGGGTTATTACAAATAAAGCTGCTACAAGCACTCATACACAAGACTTTGTGTAGACATATGCTTTCGTTTCTCTTGAGTAAATACCTACAAGTAGAATGGCTGGGTTGTATGGTAGATGTATGTCTAACTTTTTAAGAAACTGCTAAACTGTTTGCAAAAGTGGGTGTACTATTTTACAGTCCCATCAGCAGCAAGTGAGAGTTCCAGTTGCTCCACATCCTCACCAACATTTGGCAAGGTAACTCTTTTTACTTTAGCCATGGAGTGATTTTAACTTGCATTTCCTTAATAACTAATACTACTGAACATCTTTGCATGTGTTTATTTGACATCCATCTATCTCCCTCATGAAGCATCTATTGAAATCTTTTTTCAGGCACTGTTTTTTAAGTACTAAGGATACGACAGTGACTTGTTTCTGCCCTCATGGAGCTCACAGTCTAGCAGGGAACACAGATGAACAAGTAATTATAATAAAGTGTGATGAGTTCTATCATAAGACGATACCAGAGTATTAGGAGAGAACTGGGGGTTAGATAGGCAGGAAGGAGGCTTACCTGGCCTAGGGTTCAGAGAAGATGCCCCTGACGAAGTGAGGTTTAAATCCATATCTCAAGGGTGAGTTAGAAAAGACTGAGGATCAAGGAGGGTAGGAATACTCGTAGAAGGATGAGTATGCGTGAAGCCTTCCAGGTGAAAGGTATATAGGGTCCTGAAATTAATTCAGTATAGCTGGAGGCCAGAGTGCAGGACAGTGAGTGGAATATTAGGAGTCAGATAATGAAAGGCCTTAGAAGCTAGGTAAAAGAGTTTGAACTCAAGAAAAATCTAAGGGCAATCAGAAACCAAAGTTGGGACAGGACACGACTGGGTTGCATTGGGAAAACACTGATGGCTGTGTGAAGAATGGACTGAGGGGGCAACTGGAGACAGAGAGACCAACTGTGAAACAACCTAGTCCAGGCAAGAGATGACTGGAGTCTGGAAGCAGTGGAGATGGAGAGGAGCAGATGGCTATCTAGATGTTATCTAGATGATAAAAATCAACAAGATTTGGTGATCGGATGTGGGAGAGAGAAAAGGAAGAGAGTAGAGGAAGGGACAAAAAATAACTCCTGATTTCTGGCTCAGAGAACTGGTGGTGCCATTTACCTAGCCAGGCAAAGCTGAGGGAGCAGTGGTAAGGATGACACACTCGGTTTTGGATGTGATGAGTCTGAGGTGTCAATGACACATCTAAGAGGGTGTTGAGTAGGCAGTTGGATATAAATGCCTGTAGCTCAGAAGATCAATTTTAGCAAAAATTTAAGCTTGGGTGAGATTGCCCAGGAAACCTGTATAATGAGAACAGAGGGGCCAGCACCCAGCCCTGAGGAACAAAAACACTTAAGGGACACACCTCCCTCCTTTCTACTTTTGTCCACGCCGTGTCTTCCAACTCTTTCCTTTACCTCCCCAAAGGCCTTCTACCCTTCAAGGGTCCAACAAAGTCCCACTGCTTCCATGAAGGTATCCCTAAATACCCCAGCTCACACTGTATTCAGCTCTTTACCACATAATCTGGAATTTATCTACAACTTGTTTAGAAGCAACTTAAGTAATAGTCTCTCCAGTATTATAAAAAGCTTGCCACAGCAAACTTGGCTAAGAATCAGATGGCCAGATTTGTTACAGGTTAGCCAATAGCAAGTCACCTAATTTTCAAATGAGTTAATAAATGAGCAGCTTCATAAGACACAGAGGCTGCAAGATCAAATGAAATGATGCAGACAAAAACACTCCAAAAAGAATAAGCACCATACTTACATAAGGCTTTTGGAGCCTTCTCTTTCTTTCCTGGCATGGTCAAGTAAAAGCAAGTACACACTCGATTATCTCTACCTACCATACTTGCCACATACTCACCAAGCAAAAAGCCCATGAAAAATCTGCAGTAGCCTCTGATAGCAGGAAGACGTAATGTGGTACTCCTGAATTTTCACTCCTGGTCCATCAGCTACACCCTGATTCTCAGCAGCTAAGCACTAAAAGGGAAAAATGCTTTTAGAACAGTTGCTGCAGCAATTGCCCTCATTTTCCTTCAATATTTCTCTTAGTGATTTCTAAGTCTCTGTAACGATAAGAGAGGCTTCTGACCTGAAAACAGTTGTGAATGTTCTCCAGATGGTTACACATTGGAGTCAGCAGTTGAACGATACTATAAGCAATTTCTTGGGCACATCTCTGATGGAGATGTGAGAATCAATATTCCGGCTTCCTTTACTCTATAACAAATTCAGAGTTATCGGGGAAGAAACTGCTGGATAGCTTCTCTAGAACTAAGAGTTTGTTATGGAGTTTAGTCCAACCTGTGCCACCAAGTAGGAATGAACAGAAGAAACTGCTTGCCGAAGACTCTATTCTGAAAGAGGGATATATTCTGACAGAAGGATCTTGTTCCATCTTCAAATAACCAAGAGATTGGCTTTTGGAGAGTACAAACAATGTTTGAGAAGTATAGATCCATAATTACTAATGAGATAATGCACACACAAAAACAGAAATCATTTAGGCTGATAAGAATGTAGAGAAAATAATCAGTACAAAAAAGAAAGAATCAAGTAACTGGATATATTAATGTTTAAATGCTTACTCCTAAAATCTTCACATTTTGTTGTGTGCATCATCCAACTGCTTCACCAGATGCTATGAGCACATTTGTACATTATACACACATTCGAGGTTTTGGCCTTTTCTAGACAGCCAACTACTTACACTGAGGCTTGGGCATGGGCTTAGTTTGGGAGGCTGTTAAAACCAAAACCTAAGCAAAGAAAAGGATTCAGGAATATTCAGGGCATTTAGAAACACATTTCCTGTTTTGGGTGGTTTTTTTGTTTTCTCTGTTTCAAAGTTCCTTTCTAAAGCAAGGTGAATATGGTCTCGCAATGGGGCTGCCCAGTGACCCAAACACAATGCAGAGAAAGTAACAGCTTAGTCACTACTAAGACGTCTTATTTCCAAATCCACCAAGGCCAGCACCTGTGCTTCTGCCTATATTAACCTTGAGGAAGGGGACTCTCCTGGCAACAGGTGTGAGCATATTCTCCACCTTCTGGGAGAGATCTTCTAGCAAGAAAAGCAGCTCAGGGGGCTTAAGTTGCACAACTTCTGTAGCCTGTCACAAGGAGAAAGGAAAGAATAATTCCAAGCATGTCCTAGCTATCTTTTTGGAGGCGCACATGTCATGTTTACTCCTCCACCAATGGGTGAATAATCTGACCATTACCAAAAAAGGGGAATATTTCCCCACCTCATATAAGTGGCTGTTGCGCTCTGCCAACAAATCAAAAAGTCAAGCATTTCCAAAGTAAAACAAAATTTCAAATTATGAAAATAGGAATTCGAGAGTGACGTCAGCATCGTGGCAGAGTGAGCTTCCCCCATTGAACTCGCCCCCTCTAAGACACAACAAAAAGGACATTCATATTCCAACAGAAGCTATTCACACAACACCGGGGACATCTGAGGCACCCAGGCAGCCGTACACCCGAGGACAGAGGTGCTGGAATCTCCAGAGGAAGTGGAAGGAGGTAAGAGGAGCTCCTTTCCTTCCCCAAGGACTGCGACCCAGAGACTGAGACCACATGGCTCTCAGAGGAGGGGTAGGGGCGGCTTGCCGCATGAAAAACGGTGCTCTCCAAGACCCCTCACAGCCCGAGGGGATCCCCCTATGGAGGGAGCAGAACTGTTGTGAGGGTAGTTTCAACAAGCTAGCCCCTCAGGAGAGCAGAGAGCAACAGCGAGGTGAGAAACCTCTGAGATCGGGGAGGCGAAAGTAAGCACCCCTCCCTCACCCGGCCCACCTGACTGGCGCTTCAGCACAGCAGGGCTTCAGCTCAGCCCTGTCCCCCCAGGCAGCGGCCCCCACCAGCAGGGGTAGTGTGACCGCCCCACCCCCACAGGCAGCAGCCCCCAGGTGCCTGGCCCGACCAGCAGTGGGGCGAGCCTGCACCCCCGCACCAGAGGCAGCTGCAGCTTAGTCCCCACCATGCCACAGCCCCAGCTGCTCCAGCTGGACCAAGCCATGGGCCCAGCTTCCCTAGCTCCACCGTGTCATGGCCACAGCTCTTTCGGCTGGAATGTGCCCTGCCCCCAGCTCCTTCAGCTTGACCGTCCCCACTCCCCCTGGATCTAGCTGCTTTGTCTTGGCCTATGCGCAGGCTCCAGCTGACTTGGTGACAGCAACTTCGGCCCAGTGCACTCCAGTTCCAGCTTCTTTGGCCCAGCAGCACTCCAGTTCCTCCTTCTTCAGCCCAGCACACTCCAGTTCCAGCTTCTCTGGCCCAGTGCACTCCAGTTCCAGCTTCTTCAGCCCAGTGGCGCTCCAGCTCCTCCTTCTTCGGCCCAGCGCACTCCAGTTCCAGCTTCTTTGGCCCAGCGGTGCTCCAGCTTTTCCTTCTTCAGCCCAGCGCACTCCAGTTCCAGCTTGTTTGGCCCAGCGGCACTTCAGCTGCAGCTGCTTCAACCCACCCGCACCCGAGCCCCAGCTGCTTTGGCCTAGCTGTGCTCCAGCTCCAGCCATTTCCACGCTTTCCCCCCAGCAGCCTCCACTCAGCCACACTGCAGATCAGCCAGGGGCCAACAAGAGTGCCCACAGATTGAGGTGGGTCAGAATACACAGCCCTTGACCCCCACCCAGCAGCAGCAAGAGGAAACTGCGACCATATATTTTCACTAGGAGGAAAGGTAGGCCAAAACCAACAGGCACCATGGAAAAATATATTAAACCTCCAGACCAAAAGGAAAATGACAAGCACCCAGAAGTCAACCCGGAAAGAACAGAAGTGTATAACCTTAACAACAGAGAATTCAAAATAGTCATCATAAAAAAGCTTAATAAAATACAAGAAAACACAGACAGACAATTCAGTGAAATCAGGAGTTTCTTCACAGGAGAGATTGAAACTATAAAAAAAAAACAATCAGAAATCTTAGAGATGAAGAAAACAATAGAGGAGATAAAGACAAATCTGGAAGCCTTAAGCACCAGAGCTGACAATATGGAGGAAAGAATTAGCAATATTGAGGACAGCAATGCCGAAGTGCTCCAGATGGAGGAGGAAAGAGAACTAAGACTAAAAAGAAATGAAGAAACTCTCTGAGAAATATCCGACTCAATTAGGAAATCCAACATAAGGATTATAGGCATTCCAGAGAGAGAAGAGAGGGAAAAAGGAGCAGAGAACTTGTTCAAAGAAATAATATCTCAGAAATTTCCAAACCTGGAGAAGGATCTGGAAATACCAGTGAATGAAATCAACAGATCTCCTAAATATATCAACACGAAAAGACCCTCTCTAAGGCATATATAGTAAAGCTGGCAAAAGTCAATGACAAAGAAAAAATATTAAGGGCAGCTAGACAAAAAAAAAATAACATACGAAGGATTTCCTATCAGGCTCTTGGCTGATTTCTCAACAGAAACTTTACAGGCTAGGAGAGAGTGGAACGATATATTCAAAATTCTAAAGGATAAAAACTTTCAGCCAAGAATATTCTATCCAGCAAAAATATCCTTCACATATGATGGAGAAATAATAACTATCCCAGATAAACAAAAGCTAAGAAAGTTCATTGCCACAAGACCCCCACTACAAGAATTGCTCAAGAAGGCCCTCATCCCCGAGGAAAAAAAGAGAAAGGGGATTCAAAGTTTTGAACGAGGAGGAAAATAGGTTGTCAAAACCAGAAAAATTGCAGTCCTCTATCAAAATAGATTAGCAAACAATTATAAAACCAAAGATCAAGGGAAGGTAAGCACCAAGCATAAATATAACCTCATCATGTTAAACATGAACTCACAACACAAGAAGGAATAAGATGTGACAACAATAACATAAAAGGGGAAGAAGACAGGTGTCGAATTGACTTAGTCTAAGGGAATAAGAGGCCATCAAAAAATGGACTATCACATCCACGAGATTTTTTTTTTTTGTGAGGAAGATCAGCCCTGAGCTAACATCTATTGCCAATCCTCCTTCTTTTTTTTTTGCCCCAAAGCCCCAGTAGATAGTTGTATGTCATAGTTGCACATCCTTCTAGTTGCTGTATGTGGGACGCGGCCTCAGCATGGCCGGAGAAGCGGTGCATCGGTGCACACCCAGGATCTGAACCCGGGGCGCCAGTAGTGGAGTGCGCGCACTTAACTGCCAAGCCATGGGGCCGGACCCTCCACGAGATGTTTTTATACAAACCTCATGGTAACCACTAACCAAATAATCAGAACAGAATCACACATGATAAAGAAAGAGAAAACTAAGAGAATCCCCGTACAGAACTACCAAACCGCATTGGTAGTCCAAAACACATGGAATGAGAAACAAAAGAAAC